TCTATCACCATTTTTTGCCTTTATGTATTTTGTTTGAATAAAATGGAAAAAAAAGGAAAATGACATTTCACATGCGGCTTGCTTCCAAACAGAATTCTTCATAATCATTTTTGTTCTCACCAGTCGAAGTGTAATTTTAAATGCACTGAAACGAAGTTGCATCTTTGTTATAAGTGAAATTGTTTTTGTCTATATGAAAAAAACTTAAAATAAATAATGATTGCTCTACTATAGGTATTGAGCACCCTTTTGTATTTATACTGTGAACGTTAAAATTTATATATTATTTTCGTTTTCATTACATACGGATATAGAATCGGGATACTGAAGGTAAAATCAATCAGCTAAGTGACACATTTTACATATGGATTAACTCTCTCTTTACATATATATATATTGTGTGTGTAAACAGGAGCAATATATAGTATAATGATCGCTTGAGTTATTATATATATATATATATATATATATATATATATATATATATATTGTTTATGCAAAACTAGGTAATCCGTATGCGTAGACCCAAGGATGATGATATCCAGAGAGCTCAATGTAAATTCAGAGCAAATATGTTTGAATAAAAACAGACCACTTTAAGGTTCCATGTAATAAGTTATTTCACCACAACCCTTTTATTACATGAAACCTTAAAGTGGTCTGTTTTATTCAATATATATATATATATATATATATATATATATATATATATATATATATATATATATTTCAAAAAGATTCTTACAGGTACAAAATTTTATTATGGCAAGGAATAAGCGCAATGTAAAGGACATAATTATGAAAACTAAGAACTAAAACAAACAACCGGTTTCGTCCCAGTACTCCTCAAGTTTGATACACTGGGAATATTTAATCATAAACTTAAAAACAAAAAAAAAACATGCAATGAGGGGGAAAGGGAAAAAAATTATATATGATAGAAAGAACTAGAACCCAATCACATTCAAGCCCAACAAGCAGTCTCTCTGCTTACAGAGAAACGGCCTGCGGGACTTGATGTAAATGGACTCAAGAACCTTCAAATGATATGCAGAGTGTGACTTCGCCAGAATGGAAAAACAGTCAACACTCAAACCAGCAACACATTCCTGCTAGTTATAGCGTGTTCCGCTATAGATGACCCTGATGTATTCACTAGTTGGCTTTTTTTGTTAGCTTATTATATATATATATATATATATATATATATATATATATATATATATATATATATATATATATATATATGGTTCATACATTATTTTAATAGATACAATTTATTTATGTAAATATTCTATTTTTTTTAATTGAACAGAATTAATCACATTTACCAGCCTTAATTTTCGAGAAATTTCTCCAACAGGAATTGAACTGTGTCCTACACGGAACCGCCATTTGGATGTTATACATGGGGTCGCAAAAAATCTCGTGATTAAAAATGAGGTCAGTATGAAAACAGAAGCGCTGTTTTAGACAGAGTTATATCACATTTTATAGTTTAGATAAATTATTCCCAATTCTAATTGTGATAGAATTGGTGGGTAAAATAATACATATTTTTAATGCGTTGGGTTTGTCAGGGTTTCGTTTCGTATTGAATATAAAATAATTAATGAAAGAGCTTTTGCAGTCGCTTCAGCGTTAATATAAAATAAACACGTCATATGAAAAATGTTCTCCACTTTGTCGAAATTCTTTCCCCCTTTCCCCGAATAGGTGCATTGCGGAACCAAATCCCCTGGGGATGTTTTAGCCGATCACTGCAACGTTAAACTGTTCAAATCTAGGCTCATCCTGTATATTCCCCACATATGCGTATAAATTGTGCCGCTTACTCTGTAACGCTTTACCTCGAGTCTTTCTTGGGCATTATAAAAGGTGAATATTATTTTGAAATAGAAAAGAATTAAATATATCAATGTCAAGGCAAAGGTTCTGGAGATATTTCGAAAGGACGGATACTTTACGGATAGAGCTTGTATGGAGTAGTTACGATAGAAGTGACGTTAATATATACGCGTACAGAGTAAGGGCAATAGATCGATAGATAGATAAGGTAGCTAGCAAACTAGTTAGATAGATATATAGATAGATGTGACGTCATTATATACTCATACAAACTAAGGGCAATAGATAGATAGATAGATAGATAGATAGATAGATAGATAGATAGATAGATAGATAGTAGTGACGTCATTATATACTCATACAAACTAAGGGCAATAGATAGATAGATAGATAGATAGATAGATAGATAGATAGATAGATAGATGTGACGTCAATATATACGCATACAAAGTAAAAACAATCGATAGATAGATAGATAGATAGTAGCGTGGTCAATATATACTCAAACAAACTAAAGGCAATAGATAGATAGATAGATAGATAGATAGATAGATAGTAGTGACGTCATTATATAGTCATACAAGATAAGGACAATAGATAGATAGATAGATAGATAGATAGATAGATAGATAGTAGTGACGTCATTATATAGTCATACAAAATAAAGGCAATAGATAGATAGATAGATAGATAGATAGATAGATAGATAGATAGATAGCAGTGACATCAATATATACTCATACAAAACTGTGACGTTAATATATACACATACAAAGTAAGCACGATAGATAGATAGATAGATAGATAGATAGATAGATAGATAGATAGAGAGAGAGAGAGAGAGAAAGAGAGAGAGAGTAGGCGAGAAGAATGGAAAAGAAGCAGGCAGATCCATGTAAAGAAAGATAAAAATAAGAAGCCGATGGAATTTTGTCGGGAGGTAAGTATCGCTTTTGCTGGATTTCTGAGCTGTTTTGAGTGAAGAAGGTGACCTTACCTGTGTCAGATATGAAAAATGGTGGCAAAACAATGCATCAAGAACAAGTTGACATTTCGAAAGATGAGGGTAGCAGGGGTGGCAGAAGCGGGTAGCGGTGAAGTGGGTGCGCTTGACTAGTCGACAAGCTTCAAAAGCTGTCCAATCATCTTCACTTTCACTGGACCAGCAGAAGACGAAGTTTCACCTTTGACACGATGCCACCTTGCGACGTACAGATTCGGTTCCTCTGCTATTCTATGTCATGTATATTGATCAAGTTGACTGCTGTTGATGGGGCTGAAAAGGCGACAGCTTCGGAAGAAAGAAAGATAGATAGATAGATAGATAGATAGACATAGAAAGGAAAAAAGGAAAAATTAAAAGAAACAATGTAATAAAAAACGCCTTAGAAAACAAACAAAGAAAGAAAGAAAGAGAGAAAGAAAGAAAGAAAGAAATATTGATAGAACAAGAAAAAGAAAGATAGAAATAGGAAAAAATGTTTACGGCAAAACAAATGAAGTAGTTAGTTACCGAAAGAGAGAAAGAAAAAAATTAGGTACACAGTAAAAAAGAAAGAAATGTGTTAGAACCAAAAATTGAAAAGAAAAAAAGAATTATTGAAAAAAAAATGAAGGAAAGAAGAAATATATTTTATTTTTCGAAAGAGAAAAAGAAAGAAATATGGCAGAGGCAAAGAAAGAAAGAAAGAAAGAAAGAAAGAAAGAAAGAAAGAAAGAAAGAATAAAAGAGAGAACGGAAGAAAGCTGACAGAAGCAAAGAAAGAAAGATAAAAGAAAAGAAAAAAAGAAAGAAAGAAAAGAGAAAAAAATTAATGAGGAAATAAATTCCTGTTAGTGGCAAAAAAGAATGAAAGATTTTTTGTGAATAAAAGAAAATAGTTGTAAGAGAAAGAACGCGAGTAAGAAAAGAAACGCGTTAGAACCAGAAATGAACAACAAAAGGAAGGAAAGAAGAAAAAAAAGAAAGGAATAGAAAATACAGTAAGATTACTTCCCGAAAGAAAGAAAGAAAGAAAGAAAGAAAGAAAGAAAGAAAGAAAGAAAGAAACTCACAAACAAAAGTAATAGAGGCAAAGAAAGAAAGATTGGTTTCTGAAAGACAAAAACAGAAAGAGCGGACATTACCTTTCGAAAGAAAAAAAGAAACAAGGAAAGAAAAAAATGAAAAAAAAAAATGATGTGACCAAAGCAAAAAAAGAAAGAAAGAAAAACAGAAATCTTTCTTAATTCTAAGTGATATTGAAAGTACATGCAATATTTGACAGTATATCACGAAATCAAATATGGAAAAAGGAAAGTAATAGGGTGAGTGTGAATGAGAGAGAGAGTGTATAAATGAGAAGCATGAGAGAGGGTGAGAGACAAGTAGATTAGGAGCCACGTGATACAAATGAAAAGGAACTGACAGGAGAGAAAGTTATCAAAGAGAATATAAGAAAACTATTAGGTTATTTTAGGAAAAAGAGTGAAAGTGAAAGTGAAAGTACAAGTGACAGCATTTGACCCTTGACAGGTGAAGATCGCTCTGAAGATAAATGCTCGATATATAAGGAAATGAAGAAGAAAAGACATGAAAAAAAAGGTAGATCATACGTCGTTGAAGATAACAAAAGTGAAAGTCGTATTGAAAAGTTAACGCCTCATGAGGCCCGCCTTGAATTCAGAACCGTGAGAAGAAAATAAAAGATAGAATCACGAGAATGAGGTTAACGATAGAAGAAAAAAAGTCAACGAAAATTATCTATAGACAGAAAGAATAAAGAAAGAAAGAAAGAAGAAAGAAAGAAAGAAGAAAGAAAGAAGAAAGGAAGAAAGAAAGAAGAAAGAAAGAAAAAATAACGAAATAAAGAAAGAATAAAGGAAGAAAAAGGAAAGATAATAAATAAATAAATAAATAAAGATTAAAAAAGAAAAACAAAGAAAGATAAAAAGTATAAAGAAATTAAGAATAAAAATAAAATAATAAAGAAAGAAAGAAAAAAAAGAATAAAGTAAGAATAAATAAAGAAATAATGTAAAAATAAATAAATTAAGAAAGATAGAAATGAATGAATAAAGAAAGAAAGAAAGAAAGAAAGAAAGAAAGAATGAACGAGGTTTTCAAAGAATGTAAAAAAAGAAAGGAAGGGATTACCAAGCAATAAAGAATGAAGGGTAAGAAAGAAAGAAAGAAAGAAAGAAAGAAAGAAAGAAAGAAAGAAAGAAAGAAAGAATGAACGAGGTTTTCAAAGAATGTAAAAAAAGAAAGGAAGGGATTACCAAGAAATAAAGAATGAAGGGTAAGAAAGAAAGAAAGAAAGAAAGAAAGAAAGAAAGAAAGAAAGAAGGAAGGAAGGTTCATTTCCAAGAAAAAAAAATGAAGTGATGCGAAAGATAAAAGATTAAATGTCTATGGCATAATCCATATCTGACAAATGCTCGGTCGCAATTTGATAGAGGAGTAAACCTGACCGGCATTGACAACCTGTCTCGGCTTTAAATTCTTGGGGGTCAAGCGAAGGACCATTCACAGTACCCTGTTAATATAATTAAGCATCGCTGCAATCTGCCATTTTCATCATCTTTACTCTTGTCCACTTTTCATCAGACCTTGTGGATAAGTTGTCTGAAGGAAAAAGCCAGGAAGCATATGGTGGACCAATTGGCCAGTGTACTAGCATGTCAGAGCTAAGCAGGTGGATGGAGCCAAAATTTGACCATTTTTCATTTATTCTGTCCAACATGAGTTTTGATTGACTGTTTTATTAAAGGTTTTGGATTCTCGCTTTTATTATTCTTTTATTCGGCATTCTTTGATTCAAAATTTCATTCCTTCATTCTCTCATTCCATTTTCTTTGGTTTACTCGTAATTTAGATTTTTCATCTCGCCTCTCTTTTTTTAATGCTTCTTTTGTTTTAATTTTTCTACCAGATATTCCTTTTTAGTTGCTATATTCTTATAGCATTCATTTGGTTCTCCCGGCTTCTTCCTCTCTTTAGTGAGATTTGTCTTTTTATTTAACTTTTTCCGAAAATCTTTGTCTCTTTTTAAAATCTCTTTCTCTGTTTATTGTAAGTAAACTCGTTTCGTTTTAATTGTGAATTAAATAATTTCTTTTACATATTTAGTTTATTTTTGATTTTTAATTTGAAGAACTTCTTTTCGAAAAGATTCGTTACTCTCTGAATAAGGAATTTTTTTCATTCAAAATATCCAAATTTTTATTTTCATATTTATGAAATTTTATTCCAGTATTTTTATATTTTTTACTGTATTCTTTTATTATACATCTTTTTCATGCATTCATTATTTCTTTCTATCTTTCTTTGGAATCACTTTCTTTCTTTGAAATCCATTTCTTTCTTTTCTTTCTTTCTTTCTTTCTTTTTTCTTATTGAACATTTCTTTAATTCTTGTAAATCCTATATCTATCTTTTTTACTTTGAAAATCCCGTTTTTTCTTTCTTTTTTCTTTCTTTCTGTCTTTCTTTCTCTTTCTTTCTTTCTTTCTTTCTTTCTTTCTTTCTTCTTACCCTTCATTATTTATTTCTTCGTAATCCCTTCCTTTATTTTTCTTTGAAAATCTACCTCTTTCTTTCTTTCTTTCTTTCTTTCTTTCTTTCTTTCTTTCTTTTGGCTTACAATCTTTATTTCTTTATAATCCTTTTTTTCTTTTTTAATTTCTTCGAAAATCTCATTTGATCTTTCTTTCTTATTGAATATTTCTTTATTTCTTCGTAATCACTTTCCGTCTTTCCTTCTGTTGTAGCATACCTTCGGATGATAATGTGTAGCCCCCCCTCCCTTCACATAAATACAGTAATAAATACTGTATGTTGACCTGCAATTGGAGATTCATTGTGGAATTCACCTGACTCCCTTCTAGCAGTTGACTACTTATTCTACCCGCCGCTGGCAAATCTTATACGTGTTGTCCGTGCCTTAAGTATTATCGTTCATTACCAACCTTCGTTTGATTATTTAATTCAGTAACCTTCCCTAAGTTACAACACTTTCTTTCTTTCTCATTGAATGTCCCTTTTATTCTTTGTTTCTCACTTTCTTTTTCTTCTACTGAATTTATATTTCAGATAGATAAAGTGGTTGGAATAAAAGTGTTAAATGAATTGTATATTTTTAAAATATTAAAAAAAATAATGTAAATTAATGAAACGCTTTGTCCAAGAATTCTAGCAACGTCAATGAAGGGGTTGGGTATCTTCAAGTTTTGCCGTTTTTTGTTTTTTTTTCTACTCATTTCACCCAAAGATAGGTGAAGATGACACACGGACGAAATGGTTTACTGGAAGTGAAAGAGAATGGGAAGATTTTCGTGAGAAGAAATGACTATAAATGAACAGAATCCAGGAAAAGAAAAGATGGCGATAAGCGTTGCATTAAATCTTTGGTAGATTCTAGGTGGCAGGGAAGCAAGAAGCCGGAAGTGATTTCCATGGGCGGGAAAAGAAACGGTTACAGTATAATATACGGTCGCATTTAACTAGTTCAGCATTAAAACGGTGAGATTTAGTCGTCAAAATAAGTCAGGCTAGAAGCAGATGGGTACTTGCAAGACTGATAGAATGAGCCACCTCTCTCCTTACGATCAATTTTATAGATGATCTCCCCTTGAAATCTGGAGAAGAACTTGAGTACCAATGGAATGGACCGCAGAGAGCCCCATTCATGTTCCTCGTTTTGTACAACGATGGTAAGAAAAGATTATTGGCTCAACGAGTTTAACATGTACTTTTTGCAAATATATATTCGAAGATAATCCTCCCATATTTACCACCTGCCATGGACACACACAAATATATATATATATATATATATATATATATATATATATATAAAAGAAAAACAGACCACTTTAAGATACCATTATAATAATTTATTTCACCAGAGCCCTTTTAAAGCACTTCCATCAAATAGCACTTCCAAAAATGAAGTGAAATGCAAAATGAAATTAAAATTGATGGGCAGTGTAATTATTTTTTTTTAATTTAACAGAGAGTGTAAAAGGGGTAGTTAAAGAGACATGGTAGAGTATAGGGAGGGATTAATTTCATATTTCTCTCAAGTATATTTTGTATTGGGGGAGGAGGAGTGACCAGACCTTGAACTATTTAGACGGTTAACTTAACGGGAGTGATATATTGAAATGGGAGGGAAGAAGGGAGAAAAGGAAAAGGAAAAAGGAAAAAGAAGAGAGAGAGGGAAGTAAAAAGAGAAAGAGGCTGTAGTTGGGTTTTAGCAATTTATGTAAAGATTAGATTTTAATGCTTGATAGTAATTTGGATGTCTAAAAATATATATATAAATATATATATATAAATATATATATAAATAT